CAACACAGCATTTTAGTGTATTCTTGATAATTAGCAGCTAAAATTAATTTCAAATGTGAAATCTTCACTTTCTGCTGACTAACATCAATGCAGTGTAGAAGTGATCTGTTGATTACTTAAGAGGAGAAAACAAAGTTGTTTTTTATCTTTAATGGAAAATTTATATATTTATTGTACAGTTTTGGCTTAATTACTGTTATAAATATGTTGTTTTTTCAGCAAATGGCTTTTTTTGTCTCTGTGCTTCAGTTAACAATTAATCTAACACTAAATTAGTTGACGATTATTTCAATAATTGATTAATCGTGATTCATCTGATTAATCGTTTCAGCCTTAATGACAGGCTCTGAAAAGTTTTCACACTGTTGCTAAAATGTCAGGATTTTGTGACATAAAGAAATGAGAAAATTTTAAAAATGGAAAACATTTATTTTAAAATAACTGATTAAATTCCTCAACATACTTTTTTTTCTCTCCTTATTTTTAACTTTCTAGCTGAAGGTTTTAGGTGAAAAGTGACTTTAATTTAAATCTATTAATAATTTTTCCCCTAAAGTCTAAGGGTAAGCTCAGAACATGCTGCTGTCATTACCATGTTTTAATGTGCATATTGTGATTTTTATTTATTTATTTTTAAATATTATCTTTTAAACATTTTATTATGGAATTGTGGCCAAAAGTTAAAAATTTGTCTTAATATGTCAAGAAAAAGATACAAGGAAAACATTTGATCCTTTACAGCTTGTCTGTAAACGATGGCTTCATCTAAAGGACATAAATGTTTCCAAGATCCTATTTAGGTAGCTGGATTTTATTTCAGGGTCATAAAATCCTCTAAAGTAGCAGTAAGGTGTGAAACATTTGTGTAGGAGTGTTTGATTGGGTCACAACTCCCTTCTGCAGGTCGTATAAATGGGATGTTTTTGTTAAAGGTTGTCAAGAAACATGAAGAACAAAAAAAGGTTTCGTCCATCCGGATTCGGAAAACGTTGCCAAAACCTCAGACCAACCTGACACCTATGGGTCTGCCCAAACCAGTCCGGTACGTAGAAACGCTGAACGACCCGCATTTTACAGAAATAAGTTGATTCACACACATTATTATAGTTTTGTTGCGTACAATTTTTCTAAAATGAGCTTTACATTTTTTGAGTTTTTGAGTCAATTCCAACAAAGTTTTCATTCATTTTTAACGATTTAATTCTCTTTGAGCAACAGTTTTTATTACTGTACATGTGGGTCAGGCATCTGATTAGATACCTGTTCCTATCAGCCATTTCATAGTTTGCCAACAGATCATTTATTGGTGCCATTTTGTTTTTAGTTCAGAACCAGACTGCCACTTTATGCTGTTGATTTGACTTCAGCATTTATGTCCAAAAGAATCTTTCAATTCTTTTATTTTCTGACAGAATAAAGTACCTTAATGCCACAGTATGCAAACAAAGTTGAACAGTGGCTCCCTGAGAAGCTTTGGGTTTAAAATAAATCGTGATTTATGTTGATTGTTCTCTTTCTGTGTCTCATCAGGGTGAAGAAGAAAGACTTTAGTTTGGAAGAAATTTACACCAATAAGAATTTCAGCAAACCCCCGGAAAGGTAAGAACAAATCATGTTTGTTTTGTGTTTTTACATAGAAAACATTAATCCAGTGACGACACTTAAAGGGGATATTTTGCTAAATTCACATCTTGTATGTTGTTTTATTTCCATTTGACTCTTAACTGCTTCTAAAAACAACCAAAGCACTTAAAAAAAAAAAACACAGACATTTTTTTTTTTTTTTTTTCAATAAGCTAATGTTTTTGGTGTCTGGAAAATGAGCCATTTGAAAAACTTCCAGATTATTAAGTCACATTTGACGTTACTTAGCAACTACGCCACGCCTAGCGCCGTTACCTAGCAACCGAAGGGGAGCTCCAGCATGTTTGGTCAGCTTGGTTATGCAGGAGGCTCCACTTCTGCTTTTCTAAGATGTACAGTTGTATAATTGCGCATCTGTTTGCAGCCATTTTTACCTGCAAGTGTAAACGCTGATTTTAGGGGCGTGGCCAGCAGCAGATTTAAAGAAGATGTTACAACAGCTGATTGTGAACTGAGCAGACTCAATTTTAATGATCTAAGAATGATTTAGTGCAAAAATGAAATGAACATGTTTTGCGTAGACCTATCCTAACCTGTTCAAGGAAGAATAATTGATCACCTTTTAATGTGCATCTTCAATGACCCGTCCATGTCTTCTTTGGAGCGGAAAAACCGCAGTATTTATAGCTCTCTGTGGCGTGTTTGTGCAGCGACGAGCCAGAACCGCACCAGAGTCATCTGTTTAAATAACTCCTGATCTGCTCTTTGAGCATGTTGCCTTTCTGAGCAGACTGCTGGCAGCTCGTCGTCATGGGTGGGTGTGTTTTTATGTATTGTCTAATAAATAACAGAAAGTAACTACACAGAAGTGCTGCTGAAGGCAACTCCCTCTGATGATAGCAGCTTAAGGAAGAGCAGCTGATAAGTGCCAGTCTAATCTGTCTCATATATTCACCACAGACATAATGGCACATAAGCAGCGTGTTTGTGTTGTATAATTACTCGCATAATAACCTATTTTTAACACGAGGAGCAGCTGTAGTGACTGATTCTTTCATGGTGATGTAATTCATCTCCACTTATCTCAGATTCAGGAAGGCAGTTTTTGCTGCCAGGAGTGACTCATGTAGTTGTTGGATTTACAGGATAATTGCTTTTTCATGAGGGGCTGGATTGGTTTTGATTGCCTTTTTCCTTAGTGTTGTATGTTTGACAGTTGAAACCATTTTTATTTTCTCTGAAGTTAAATCAGATCAAACATCTCCTGTTTTTATGTCAGTTATAATTGTCAAACTTATTTCTATTTCCTAAATGCCACTAAAATGAGCAAGTAACTATTATTTTAGTAAATGATTAATCAATTGATTCTGATGATTAATTGGATAAAATTATTTTTTAGAATATTTAGCCTTAAAACTTCAAATGTATGGACTGGTCTCTTTAAAATCAACTCTGAGAAACATGATGGTTGGACTTTCCCGTCACGTTTAGTTGTGCAAACGGATAAATCTGGTTGCTTTTTGTTTTCTGACATCTAAAACTTTTAAATGTGACTGAAATTTGCTTCTGTTTTTGTTTGATCAAAGACATTTAAGCTGATAGAATAGTCAATTAATCGCCAGATTAATCGATTAATCGTTAGAATAATTGTCACAGTCAATTAATCGCCAGATTAATCGATTAATCGTCAGAATAATCAATTACTAAAGTAATAGTTAGTTTCAGTCCTAATGCCATCAACTGATTTGTCTTTCAGCCGCCTGGAAACCATTTTTGAGGTGCCGCTCAACCGCAAGAATGGGTCCGAGTCCTGGTTCGGTCCGAGGCGTGTCAAACGGTTTTTGGAGTTCCTAGAAGTGGGCGAGGCCAGAAAGCCAAAGAAACCTCTGGTCGGCGTTGGGAAGACGGGCCCGTCCTCATCCAGGCCGAGACGAGGAGGCTTCCCCAAAGACGAGCCGTCCCTCAGCGTCCAGGATGTGGACTCCCTGCTGTGCTCCAAGCTGGACGAGTTGAATCTGTGGCTGATCCACGATCAGAGCGAGGAAAGAGAAACGGACAATGCTGTTCCTGTAAGTGCGATCATGACGTAATGTCGCGCCGGTCCGTGTTGAAATGTTGTGGAAAAACTCCAGTTAAATAAATCTGTAGCATTTGTAGCCTGCAGCCTGAAGAAATGTACATTATAGCACAAAAATGTCGACTTGGAGAAGTTATTTATACACATTTGTACAGCTTGTTTTATTTATTCTACAGTCAGACTGCTCGTATTGGTAAAGCTCCCAAAATGAATAAAACAAATTCTCCTTGATGTTCTGTACAGTATTATCACTCGTCTTTTGATGGTTCTGATCTCTGGCTTGTTCTGAACTGAAGTATTCATCTCCTTGCAGCATCTTTGAGTTATAATGGCAGCTATTTGTTTCTCTATTAAAGGCTCTAGATATGTATAACTTTTAAAGATGCCAGCGAGAGATTTGTATTTACAATAAACTTTGTTTGTAAATATGTTTTTTTTATTTTTTATGTACAATCAAATAAGTTTCCAGCACTTGGACTTCGCTTTACTCAGTTCAGGGCGGAAACCGATCAATTATTTGGGTTTGAATTTTCCCACCTATGGCCTTTTCTTGTTTTTCCCACTGAAGTGCATGGAAAAGTGGGCGTGTCAACGACCAAGTTTATACATGTTTTTGTGTACATAAGTACATTAAACTGTAGCTGTTTGTTGCTGTAAATGAGGTTGCCTTAACTGTAAAACTTTTGTGAGAATTAATCAGCCAACTTGATGTTTGAAAACATGTTTTATTATAAAATATATCGTTTGTATAAAAGTACAGTACATGTATACATTTAATAAAAAAATTCAGGTAAAGTAACAATGCAATAATGCCAAGATAATGTCATTTTGAAGCACTGCCATAATCACCGCCATGCCATTTGTTTTTATTTCTCAAAGCCCAAAATGTTTTATCTACTCTTGTATTTGTGATTTTAGTATATACGGTAACAATTCACAAATTTTTTAAATAAACTATATTCAGGAATGAGTTGTTACAGAGCTGTATTTAAAGATGCTTTTGAAAGTTTATTTTGTCTCTCTTTATGATTTCCACTAATTGAACCTGATTAATAAACATCCAAGTATTCAGTTTTTCTGAATGTGTGGAAATCTTCAGGAGAGGTTAAACTTTTCAAATTGTGTCAAATTTAAAGGCAATGCTGGAATTTAGTTTCTTTTTTTTTATGAATCCGTCTGTATGTTAAATATCACAGGGTATAAAAACATGAAAGCCGTCTGTTTTGTTTCCGTTAAATACTGGAGAGATAAAAGTAGAGGTTGTAACTTCTAATGATAATCATCACAGCTTTGTTTTTGTTACTTTGCTCCATAAAATACAAAGTTGTTCACAGAATCGTTTTGTTTTTCTGCCGAAGTCATTTAGTCCTTCAACGTCAGAAGATATGAGATGAAAACTAGCAGCACAGGAATTAAGATAAGGATCCCGAACAACATGACAATGGATATTATGCTGTACTTTTTCGCCTCTTTTGAATACTTTAGCTTTTGTTCTCTGTTCTTCTGTTGGTCAACCTGAGGAAAAAGAAAAAAGAAAAACAGGATTAGTAACCAAAAGCTGTTTAAGACACCCAGCAGGGCCGGTCCAAGCCTTTTTGGGGCCCAGGCAGATTTGAATTTGGGACAATTTCAAATTGCAGGGACGTGAAAGTGGCGTTTTAAATATTTGTAGTACTTAATTGATCCAAATTTATGAGAAATTTCTGTAACTTTTCTGTCCTATTATCAATATTTTAGTGTCAATTTCATCAACATGTTTTTATCAAATTCAATTTTGTTTTTTATTTTATATATCTACGGTGCTGTAGATATTGTGAAGCAGTCAGCTGGGGTTGTGAATGTGCTGTATAAGTAAACTTGGACTTGACTTTGACTTTCACAACAGTCACGATAAAAAGTTGCTGGACGATAAATTGTTATTACGATAAGTGATGTTGTTTTGAGACTATTTTCAAGTAATAAAATGGTAATAATGGTATAATAACCCAAGTACATTCTCCAAAAGATCAATAAACTTTCATTTCTAATATTTAACACTGGAACTGGAAGACATTTTAAATATTAAAAATAAATAAAACAAAATGAGAAAAAGGACTATTTTTTCACATTTACATTTCATGTAAGATATGAACCCCAATCACTACAAAAATGAACTAAATTACTTTTATCTTCTTACATAATTATAAACAGTTGTAATAAACAATGCTACTGTTGTGGGAGCCTTGAGAAGAAAACGGTACATTGAAGCCTTCAGTTCTTCTCCCACAATTTCACAGTAAATGCTACAAACTGTGATGGAAAAGACAAAACCTAGAGTGGGAATGGCATTTAGTTAGAGTTTACAGATCTAATTCACTGAGCTTGAACTATTTTGTGAAAGGAATAAGCACAAATTTCAGTCTTAAAATGGCGAGGATCTTGATTTATTTTCATAGATTATCTCTCTGATACTAAACTGTGACAGCCCAGAGATAGTTTCAACAAATATGTAAAAAATATCTCTTATAAAAGTTACATGCTGCATTATTAGTAGTAATGCAGTTGAAAATGGTCTGAAAATGACAATATTATAGTTTATTGCAATAACTTCTGTGAACATCCTGAATAGAGAAACCGAAACCAACACAAACTGGATTTAAAATGTAGAAATGAACCCAAATGAGGAGTACCTGGAATGAATTTTCCAGTGCTTTGTATCCCACACAGGAGCAACCGCAGATGATGCTGCAAATGGCCAGTTTCCTGTGGTTGTTTATTTGATCTTCGTCCATACTTTGTTGGCTGTGGTCTTCAGCTGAGCCAGGTATGGAATTCAGTGGCATATTTATCTGTGTATCCTCCTGCGACATATCTGCAAAACAAGACAAGTTTTTCATTTACACTGGCATATAGTAATTCTCCTAAACCAGTGGTCCCCAAACTACGGCCCGCGGGCCGGATCCGGCCCGCCTCCACATTTGGTCCGGCCCCCTGAACAATACCAGAGAGCATTCAGATTTTTTTTCATATACCGTATTTTCTGGACTATAAGCCGCTATAATGGAAATTTGAGAATGTTGTTGATTAGTTAAATAGCATTAAGGGGGACAAGAAGATTTTTCGTTTTTTTAAATAATACTGGAATCATTATGAGAATTTGAGGTATAGATATTAGGATCCAGTAGATGGCAGTAGTGCAACAATAATGGATGCAAGCTGCCGTTGAAATCTAAAGAAGAAGAAGAAGAAGAAGACGCCCATTTTCATTTAGCACATGCTAAATGAATAGCACATGCTATAGTAGCAGACACGAAGGATCAGCACTTTTACTGTTACGGTTACCGTTCGGAAAATACCGTAATCAGTTCAGTTAAATCTAAACTTGGCAACTTTTTCTTTTTCAGCCCTAATAAATGTGATATTCAATTGACCTGTTATGACTCAGATTTTGGGTGTCCGCCCCTCTGCTGCTGCTGCATCGCTGTGGAAAACCTGGAGTGGCAGAGATATCTGCGGCTTATAGTCCGGAAAATACAGTATTTATTTCATAAATAGTGTTATTTCCTGGATTTATTCTTTGAAGAACTCAGAGAGGGTTATTTGATTGTGCTTTCTGGAAAACAATACATTTTTTCATTTAGGCACTCCTGCAATCGTCACACTTTTTCTGTTACAAACTGACTCCGGCCCCCCACCAGAGAAGGGAAAAGTTATGTGGCCCTCACAGGAAAAAGTTCGGGGACCCCTGTCCTAAACAGTCGATTTTTTCATGTCATTCCCTCTGATCAACATGCTTAAGTTGCATTTCATTGAAATGAAACGAGTTATGATAATTTTGAGCATGTTGCTCAATGATCATGGGAGTTTTTGAAGTCAGGGAGGTTTCGGTTTGTCACATAAAAGTACCTAAGCACTGCAACAAGATCAAAAAAACAAACAACAAAAGCGGACAGACTTGAATGAAACAGCAGCCTGCTGGGCTGGTATGTTGTCATGGCAAAATTGAAAACATGAAATTCAAGTTAGTCTTTAATCTGTGCTTCAATCTGACACTGACTCGAAGGAATGCCAGTGTTTCGCTGTTTGTTTGTTTTTTGTTTTAGGAAAATGTTTCAGAACTTGTGTAATATTAAACAGTCATGTGAATCATTTGTCATGAGAGTCGGTAACGTGGTTTCCTTAAATGTAGCAATGTTTTTATTACCACATTATAGTGGCCAGTGGCGCAACTGCACATTATTCAGGTGGATGCGAAAACATAAATCGGCATTATGGTGGAGCCAAAGCAACAGAGGAGGAATTAGTTCTTATTTCAGTATTTAACATCTAAAATGTGTCAGAAAGTACATTGTTGCGCCCCTGATTAAGCATTCCTCTAATCAGGCTGTTTTATTATTATTATTATTATTATTATTATTATTATTATTATTATTATTATTATTATTATTATTATTATTATCTGATTTTCTATTTAAAGTTCCAGTTAAAACACAAACCTGGTGATTTTTGACAGGAATCCCCTTCTGAAGTCCAATCAACAGATCAATAAAACAGGATCGGTGATTCTCTCTGCTGAAGAAAACAAATGTATATCTTAAATACAGCGGTGATTTATTACTCCATTACAGTGGCACAAAAAGCAGGTGTATAGGGGCGTCGCATTAAAGGGGCGCCACATTAAGGGAGCAAAGTGTTTCTCGTTGCAATTTCCTGTATTTATCGTCTGTTAGTGCGCCTTTAAAGTGTCAGAAAACATATACTATAATGAGACCTTTTTAAAAAAATATCTGATTCCCCTTTTAAACATTGAATTAAAACACAAACCTGGTGAGTTTTGACAGGGATCCACTTCTGAAGTCCAATAATCAGATCAATAAAGCAGGATCGGTGATTGAGCGATTCCTTCTGCCGGTTAAAACCGATCTCCGTCTTCTAATGGGTAAAAATCTCAACTAGTGAAACCAATCGACTCCTCCGACGGTATGACCGGAACCGGGACTGAAACTGTGTTAACCCTCCACGCCTTCTTAGCTAGACTTTTCTCTCTACGTACACTTGTCACATTTTTTTCCCTCCCTTGAATCTTCCTTTACTTCCTGTATTTGTTGTCAGTGGCTGTGATAAAAAAAAAAAGGCGAACTAACAGCCCAGTTCTACCCGGTTCACATTCCTGAGGCAGCCGCCGAGGTGTGTCGGTACTTGCAGCGCATTAAGGTGAGATAAAGTTCTCCGGATTGCCTCAGTGAGGTTGAAAATTAAACATTTCCCACTCTGATGCGAGTTTTTCCACTCTGAAACTGGTAGATTTTCCTAGTTTCTCTTCTTCCTTCTGCTCTCTAACCTATAGAGATAAGACACATTCACACCCCGTTGACTCAGTGATGACAGAAAGGACATTTTACGCAGCTGTTCATCGGGTAAACAGCAGGGAGAGTCATCCTGCTCATTAATGATTGCAGCGGAAGGACCAGATTCCTCAAAGTCGCGTAGAGGAGTCAGTTTAGGGCCACTGACTTTTCCCCCACAACTCTGTTGGTCTCAAAATACAGACTTTTTAGAAAAGTAAAATAAAATTCTGGCTTTAATCTCAAAATTCTGACTTTATTTCTTGGAATTCAGATTTTAATCTCAGATTTCTGACCTTTTTTCACCTCAGAATTCAGATTTTATTTGTATGAAATCTGACTAATTTCTGGATTTTGACTTTTCTTCTCAGAATTCAGATTTGTTTCTTTCAAAATTCAGACGTTATTTTGAGAATTTTCACATTACTTTCAAAATTCAGACTTTTCAAGAGTTTTGCTTGATTCTGACTGTTTTTCTCAGAATTAATTTTTTCTCTGAATTTTTACTTTTCTCTCAGATTTTTGACTTGAATCCCTTAAACTCACAATTCTGATTGTTTTCCCCTTACAAATCTTTTTTTTTTCAGAGTTTTGACTTTCGTCTCAAAATTCTTATCTTAATCTTATAATCCATAATAATGCAAAATTTATGCAAAATCAAAATGGTGTCATAAAACAGAGACATAAAGCATCACCTCCCTTCTGAACAGCGTGTCAGTGTGACTGACTATTAATGATGACATTAACTTTTTTACACAAAGACGTTTAAATAACTTGTTTCCCCCCTTAAAGAATGGGGATTTAATAACTAAATAGTCAGGTTGTCCTTTTCTGATTTTATTTTATATTTGTGTGAGAAAAATAGAAAAAACAGAACAAAATTCTGTATTCTGGGAAATACTATTTCCACAGCACTGTAGAGAGGGAAGCAAGTATTTTTGAGGAAGTACAACCTGGTGTCATGGTTAGACAGATGATTTATTTATTTTTTTTACACCTCATTGCAATGCCACTGTTTCAACTCAGAAAAATAATTACAAGTAAATAATTAATAAAAAACAAAGGGGAAAAATCCTTAATAAATTTTTTAAATACCTATTGTGTACTACATTAATTTGTTTATACTTTTACAATTAACGAGAAAAATTAATAAAAAAATCCATAAACGTGACTCGTAAAATAACAGTAGAAGTTTTTACATTTTTCATTTAAACGTCATAAGTCACAAATTTGTTAAAACTCTAAATTTCCAAAGAACTAAAAGCAAAAATACTCAGCCGGGCATACAACATAATATTAAGGGCAATAAATTAAAAATACAAACGTTTTTAAAAAGGATGTCAACTTAAACGCATTTTTAATCTACACAACGGACTTTCTAGTGTAAGTTTGTTTAAGCGACATTTGAGTGTGTTATATTTGGCTAATAAAACAATATTATTACACCACAATAAATATAGATGTCGATAAAAGCATCAAATGTATCATCTTGGATTGTTATAGTCGTAAAATGGATCCCTTGAGCCTAAATATGCAACGGAAAACTTGAGTTTGTGTTTTTTAAGCCCCGCCTTTCCTTCCAGATCCACCAATGAGAAGTTGAGTAATAACGAGCCCGGATGTAAACACGGAAGTACCGTGAAAGAATTGAAAGACACGTCGACAGTGAACCAAAACACTCTCCTTTCATCTAAATCACATTAAATGTTACATATTCCTGTTATTAACAGATTTTAGTATCTTTATAATTCACACTTGTGTCTCCAACACACCAACAATGGATAAAAACGGAGGTTTGGTGTTAGCTACTGAGAGATACGGCAGCGGACAGACTTGGAAATATTCAGTAAGTGATGGAGTGATGAAGAGGACGAGGGATGGGAGTGAAGCTGGGTTAAGGAGCCACTCAGTTGTTGAACTCTTTAAAGTAAGCGTCTTTTATATTTTTTAGTTCGTTTAGTTTATAAAAACTAAGATTTTGACGCTGTAACTGTTGGTTTCAGAGCGTCTTTCTGCCTCAAGGATACCCAGAAAGTGTCAGCAGTGATTATCTTCAGTACCAGTTCTGGGATACTCTTCAGGTACAGTAAATATTTAAATCAATACAGAGGATCCTATGACTACTTTTGGGTCATTATAGATACAAAAAAAGTTTAAATTTCTGCCAAAATATTCAGAAAATTTGAAAATAACATCAGGAAATTTCTACCTTCAAATTAAAAAATTCTTAATTTTAATTTTTGAGACTCAGAAATTTCCAAGTTTTCTCAAGAATTTCTGAAAATTAGAAATGAAAACGTTTCTTATCTTTTCTGAGATTAATCTCAAAATGTATTATGTTTTCTTCAAGCAAATTTTTAACTTTTCAAACTCAGAAATTTTCCTTTTTTTGTGTGTGTGAAAATTTCCAAGATTAATCTAAACATTTTCAAAGTTTTTCGGTGGAAATTTACTCCTCTTTTTTTCCCCATCTACAATGCCGTTGTAGGTATCCTGAGCTACCAGATTGAAGTTTTTTATTTTTATTTTTAAAATTTCCAGGCTTTCTCCAGTTCTCTGTCGGGGACTCTGGCCACTCAGGCTTCCCTCAGAGGTGTTGGTGTTGGAAACCAGGAGGCAACTGTAGCTGCAGCCACAGTTACCTGGTTATTACGAGGTGCAACTTTAACATAAGCAACTGTAAAGATAACTTAATAATCATGTTATCAATCTGTCTTATTATTTAAAAGTGTGTGTTATCTGCAGATGGAACTGGGATGTTGGGAAGAATCCTCTTTGCCTGGAGGAAAGGGTCAGTTATGATTTGTGTTTTTGCAGCTTCAATAAATCTTTTTAATGCTTTAAATAATTTTTTCTACACTTCAGGAGTAAGCTGGACTCAGAGGCTAAAAAGTGGAGGTATAAATGAAATTTAATATACTTCTGCTCTCCTATGATTATAGCTGTCATTGTCATATTGATTTAATGTTGTAATTCCTTTCCAGGCTTTTTGCTGATGTTCTCAACGACATTGCAATGTTCATGGAAATCTTGGCTCCCCACTTTCCGGCCTGCTTCACTTTGATAGTTTGCACTGCAGGAATATTCAAGGTAAAAATAAAGTATTTACACCACAGAAGCATCTGCTTAGTTTGAGGTTCTGTGAGATCGATATTTGCTCAAAATGTTTTATTATTGTTGCAGTTCTTAAATCTCCATATAGATATTTCTGATTATTTGGGCTTTCAAAACAAAAGAACATTCTGTCTGAATCCTGGAATTTCTGACACGAATGGGACTCAAGAAACAAACTTGTTTTCATTATAGATAAACCTGCAGAATTTACCGATTAAAACATAAAATCTGTTTTGTCTTTACCCGTTTTTGTTTTCTTCAGTCTATTGTTGGCGTCGCCGGAGGAGCGACCAGAGCTGCACTCACTGTTCATCAGGCGCGCAGGGACAACATGGCGGATATCTCTGCCAAAGATGGCAGTCAGGTAACCTCCCCTTTGGCAAAATGTGAATTAAAATGTAAATCGTGTTCTGATAGGATGAAATCAAAATGCAGTAAACCAGCTCTCACTGCTGGAAAGTCTTACTTACTTTGGGTGAGTTAAAAAACAACAACTTCATTGTTGAAAAGGCAGCAATTTTTTGGATCAATTTATTTCCATGTCTCCTATTTTTTTTAATACTTTTCATATACAATATTAAAAAAAATTAAAATAATGTTTTTTTTTGTCACTCTGGGCTTAAAAGTGTCTTTAGTACCAGCAGTATTTTCAATAAGGCTACATTTTTAAATTTTTAAATTAAATTAAGTTCTTTATTTAATTTTTTTAAATGTAGTTATATGTTTTGCTAAGCACAAGTGTTTTGTATTTTGTTTAATTCTTTTTTTGTCACTATGGGCTTAATGAATAAATATTTTTAAGGCCTGCAGTGTATATGGTTAAACCTACATCTCTTTTTTATTTTTTCATTAGAGTTTTTATTTTATTTCTTAAATTTTCTGTCATACTTTGTGTTAAGCACTTATTTATTTGTTTATTTACTGTCATTATGGGCTTTTTGTTAAATTTCTTTATTGGCCTGATGTAATATTTTAAACTTAAATGTTGTATTTTAATGATAGAGCTACTAAAATGAATAAAGTTTTCAACAATATCTACATAAATAGAGTAACATAATAAATAAAGTTTGTTTTCTCTCATGTTTTCTGCAGGAGACTTTGGTCAATCTTGCTGGTTTGCTGGTCAGCCTGTTACTGATTCCTCTTGTCACTGATAACCCAGTGTAAGTTTTGACGTTATTTTATACACGTTTTATCTTTTTAAAAGTTGAATAATTCTTTACTTTGTGTGTTTCAGCCTGACCCTCTCTCTCTTCTTCCTTTTTACTGTCCTTCACCTCTTTGCCAACTACAAAGCTGTGCGTTCGGTTGTCATGGAAACCTTCAACGAGGCGCGGCTTTCCATCGTGATGCAGCAGTATCTGAAGGACAGACGAATCCTGAGTCCATCTGAGGCGAATCAGAGAGAACCCGTATTCCTACGTATGTCAAAACTGTATATTTTTGTTTTGATTTTTAGGTGGTTCTTGTTGTGTTATTAATATTTCTTTCATATTTCTCAGAGTTTGGAAAAGCCACACCAGTTAAACTTGGCGTCAGGTTACAGGATGTTGCTCAGAGGTAACTCCAGAAATCATTTTTGCTAACACAGATTAAAACTTTAACTCTGTTTTGACTCATTTTGTGTTTTTTTGTAGCCCAGAGGAACTGAATTTGGCTTTAAAGGAAAACAACATGCCCTTCCTGTTGGGAATCAGAAACGGTATTCTACCTTTTTCCACTGAATGACTCTTCGATTTACAAAATTTTAAATATTTTTCAACCTTGTTCTGCTTGTTGCAGGCTGCATTTGTGTCTGTTTGGGAACAGACGCATCAGTTCGTGATGAAATCAGAGCGATGTGCCAGGCTGCATGTGTCAGCAACATACTGAGTTGCCCAACCGCTTTGAAATCAACGCAGCAAAGTGAGTGAGCTTTTCTGCTCTGCATTTGCACAAGAGTTGTTTCAGTGCTTCATTAAATACACATTGCTTTTTTATTCTTAATCTAAGATTTGTGGGAAGTTGTGCACGAGAGTCAGAAGCAGATGGACGCACATTTCTCTCCATTCCTCAAAGGTGAGCTTACACAAGTTTGAGCTTGTAGTTTGTGTTTCTGTGAGTGTGATTTGTTAATAAATCTGTAATATTTAGGTGTTAAAGCTGCAGGATGGGACACAGAAAGGACTTTGCTGGACTGGGATGAGTGGCGAGTGGAGTGGAAAACAAAGAACAGCTGAGCTGCTTTTTATTTTATTAAACGTCTGTATTTCTAAATGTTTTATAATTCATTTAAAATGAAAATGTAACAGCTCTGAGACATTGTGGAAGAATGTAAATATTTTTGTATAATTTCTTAATAAAAAGAATAATTAAACTGTGAGTTTCTTTCTCCACAAATATATTTAATCTTAATCATAGGCATAAAAATATTTTTTTATTTGTGTTTTTTAATGTTTCGTTCGAATAATTTTACAACTCATGTTTACAAATGAATTGGATGCACAAGTTTGAAATCATGTTGGGTTTCCTGGTATCCTAACGGATGCGGACCCATCATTTTTTTTAGTTTCCTGAAAGTAATTCGAGCAATCCGTTGTAAGAATAATTGTATAATTGTATTTTAAAATTTCAAGCTAAGCTTATAAAAAACGAGTTCATGCCCAGAAACCATTCAATTCAAAGCTCACAGAAAATATGCTAAAGGTTTGTTGATTGTTAGTGTTATTAAAGTGCAAATTGGTTTTTTTTTGTTTTGTTTTTTTGTTTTGTTGTTGTTACAGTTGCAAATTTCACTTTAAACATAAAAATTCTCTAAATAAATTTTCAAAAGAGTTTACATTTGTATTCAATTAATTCACACGGGTGCTTATAATTATTTTCGCTGTGCAGTCAAAAAACAAAAAACAACAAAAAAAAAATCATATTTTAGCCACTAGGTAGCAGTGTTACAAAAAATACAAGAAAAACCCCCCCAGTAACATCCGGTTGTAAAGTTTTAGGTTTACCTACCAACATCCGTTAGGCTAAAAAAAAAAGAAAATAACCAGTTGTATTTAAGGAACTTTTTAAAGCCTATTACTTAATTTAAAATATAAATACCTCCTGAAATTAGTATTAGAATTTTCTTCCGAAAAACATTTAAATATTTCACTATTTATTTTGCCGATGACTATTAATATAGAGTTATTATTTTGAAAATACCAACCGGATGTCGCGTATTCTTTAATGCTAACATTGATCCTTTTCTATAAATGCCAGAATTCTAAAACTATTTAAGTTTTGTTCGAACATTATCTTTATGGTGTAAAAAATGGGAAGGTATAAATGTGCTTACAACTGCGAGACCTCGGCAGACCCGGATGTTAAGTTCTTCAAGTGAGTTTTTTACGAATACGTGAATAAGTAGCAGGTAGCTAGCTTAGAGATGTAATGCTAGTTAATAATGATAATAATACGTAGCATTAAATATTTTGTTCTAGAAGTTGTTTTCCAACGTTATATTAATGTGCAGAATCGAGACAACATCCGAATAGATCCCAAAAGAAAAGGCAAAAAGATATTGTTAGGGTTTTAAGTGGAGTGTTGTTGAGTTTTGAGTAAAAAGAAAGCGGCTAATGTCTTCAAAAAATCCTTTTTAGTTCGAGTCCAGACCAACAGGCTTGAAATGTGCAAAAATAAAACCACTTCACCACTGAAACTGCCCCTTCCTGAAATTTCACAAATCAAACAAAGGTTTTACAAATCTCAAATTTGGTTTTAAGTATTTTGCTATTTGTTTGGAGTAGATTAGAATAGTCTAACTACTGTAGTTTTTGAACAGGACAAGTTCTAATGTGATTCAGATGCAAAAGGTATATATTTTTTTAATAAAAACAAGTGACAGTCATATGGATCTTTAGTTAACAAATAAAATAAAAGTTTCATAAATCACAAACTAGATTTGAATAATTCTGCTCAAATCTCTGTTTGTCATGGCAGGTTCTGGTTCTGCTGGAGATTTCTTCCTGTTAAAGGAGAGTTACTTTCCTACTACCCCCACATACATGCTCATTATGTGGAATTGCTGCATTCTGCTTGGCATCTTTAGATGGGAAACATTTTAAATAAGTCTGAATAATGAACTGAACTTGATAAATTGTCTGATAACTAAGATAAATTGGAATGTATGTTGACATAATTAAGATTACTTGTTTATTGTTGTGAATTCGTGCTGTTTGCATAAACTATATTCAGTTGACTTTATCGATTTTGCTGTTAGTGTAGAATAATCTAGTCCAAGTTTGAAGAATTTAAGATGCTATTTTCTTTTTTATAAGATACAAATCATTATTATTAAACCTTATGTAAAATAAGTTTTTGAAATGTTATTTGCCATGGTAATCTTTCTGATTGGCTGCTTTGCTCCTCAAGTTAACTTGGCTAGCACAAAATAAAAGTTTCTGTCCAGAAAAAGACCAAAGAAACAGTCCTGCTGTCGAAAAGACTGCTTATTACACTTATTTTTAAATAAAGAGAGGGGATTGTGGTGGAAAATTTTATTTTCAGGTAATATGACAAACATCAGATTTATAAAGTCATGATATATTTATTACTTGATGAGAAAATTTTCAACCACTGAATTCCTTGCCAGCTAAAATCAGGAGATATGAGGTTAGCAGAAATGCTAACCTCATATCTTGAATGGTGAATAAAAACGAGAAGAAAACATTCTAAAAGTTAGTTTTTATATATTTTGTAGCATGTTCCCAATGTCAAAACATTTGGGAACAGCTGGACTAGAGACCCATTTCAAAGCTTATTAATACTGAAATTTCCCTTAACTGTGAGTTATTTTCTGATCTAATGTTTGACATGTTACTGCAGATTTCCGCTGTACAATCCCAGAAAGCTTAAGAAATGGCTCTCCAACATGAAGCTGAAGGACTGGGCTCCAACTCGCTTCTCCGCACTTTGCATCAGTCATTTTGAGGAGCGGTACATCGACAGAACGGGGAAGTGCGTGACTCTTCGAGACGATGCGGTTCCCACCATATTTTCACCTCTTGACAAAACTCAGAAAAACAAGGTTTGTGTTCAGATCTCCTAATTTGAAGGGACTCAATTAAATATATTTTATATTCTGGCTTTTTGAAAAAATCTTATCACCTTTTATGCAGGTTTCTCCTGGCAGAGGACGTAGGAGACATAAGGTAAAATCCTAATAAGTTCATTAAATGTTTTTATCCAAAATGTGATTGTTCTCTAAATATTTAAAACGCCGGGCGCTCATTTGCTTCTTTTCTGTATGAATTCAGCCTAATATAAGTGCTAAGTCTTCAGAGAAAGAGTCGGCTTCATCTGCAACATCTCCTTCTGTCAGCAGCGTTAAAAACAAAGAACTCAACCAGAGAGACGAACAGCAAACAGGGTTTGTAACTCTATGAAGAACTCATAATAATGCATCAGCTTTCCTTTAACTGAAAAAGGAGAAGAAACTCGGTTTGTGAAGACTGATGTGATTTTTTTTATTTTTATAATTCTGATTTAAAAAATCAACATTCAGTTTTCTTATATATTTCCAAATTAAAACAAGTTTACAACCAATAGATTCAGATTATGTACAAAAATTTTGTCAGTTGACTGAAGTCGTAGAGGTAAATTTAAGGTAATTTACATTACGGCGAAACAATTAATCTATGATTAAAAAGGCCTTCTGTTGAAAGGTTGACATGTTCAGAGCAGTACTTAAGACAAAATTGTAAAAAATATTTCTACATTTTGCAATTAGGATAAAAAAAGGTTAATCTGTAAATATGTTCTACACAAAACTCTTAAACTGGCATTTTTAGCTTCACCTAGTTTGAATTCCATAAAACCAAATCTTCTTTTGGCATCCAATTATTAAACTGTTATCCAATTAGTAACTATTAATTAATCAATACAGTGTCAGACTAGTAGTCAAAAATTAGTCCTACAGTGTATCAGTGTCAAGTCAAGCAGAAAGGGGTGAACTTTTCACGTTAGAAGTACTTTTTTAGCTGCAGATACATCCATGTTTCTTTGCAACATATTTGGATGTTTACCTGTTTAATGTGTGAAACTTTTCTGTATTTATGATCAGAGATAAAGATCATAAAAACACTGAAAAATGGAGAATCATAGTTGATGAGCGACTGAGGAAGATCGACTCATTTCCACATTTCTTTCATGGAGATTACTGCGTGCCACAGGTAGGTGGGTTAGCAGTTTTACATCCTGGTTATTGAACAGGTGTATTTTTACCCTCTTTAAAGGGGAACTATGATGTAAAATTCATATTTTGCACGTTTTATATTTCCATTTGGGGCTCAACTGCTTCTAAAAGCAGCCTAAACTTTTTAATAAAGCACCCATCTTTTTTTTTTTTTTTTTGGCAAAAAGTTAATATTTTTGGTGTCTTGAAAATTAGTCCTTTCAAAAACCTTCCAAATGTTGAGTCACATTCAACAGGCATTCTGCCGTTACTTAGCAACCGCAGTGGAATTCCTGACCTAGCAACCCAAGCTGAGCTCCAGTACATTTGGTCAGCTGTTTTTACCGCAGTATGTGCTGTACAATGGCTACTGGAAAAGACAAGTGCTTTGTTAATGACTTATCATGCAGAAACCATTTGCTGCATTCTTGTTTGATGCCTAGAAGGTTTAATTTCTGCTTTTCAAAGCTGCATCTGTAAATAATGAGTTTACACTAACCTGCTCAATAAAGAATTATAGATCACCTTTGATAATGTTATGATATGATGGTGGGTTTAAGTACTGTATGATCATCTAATACATTTTTTCTTGTCCAATTTCATTCTTTCATACGAATCAACAGAATATCCAATGGGCTCCAGATGACGATTTCAGTGTAAGTAGCAGCAAATATTTAAAAATAAGATTTTGTGTTGTACAAATAGCGTATAATTGTAATTATTCTAATTATTCTATTGAAATCTTTCTACAGGAAGAGTATCAAGACTCTGACAATGTTATAGAGGTATTCTCAGTCTATAATTACTTAAAAGGTGGTCAGAAATTCAAAGTTGTTATTTTCGACACTACTGCATGTTACGTTATGGTTCCAGGTGAAAGGGGCGTGGCAGTGGCTGGGTCTGGACGTCAGGGGGCCGCTGCCGCAGACGCTGAATGGACACAGGTACATTTTAACCCTGACAGACTTCTACTCCAGGTGGGTGGAGGCCGTCCCCATGCAGTCCTGCCTCCCGTCCGACGTAGCGAAGAACATCGCCGACATCATCGCACACTTCGGGTATCCGCTGAGAATCCTCTCCCGGCTGCCTCATGACGTAGTCCACAGAGTGAGTGTGTGTGTCATTAAACTGGTGTCACTGCAGCATGGAGTAGAAAGCTCCATGCT